AAACGCGAGGATGCCTCGCGTTGTTCACGAAAAAGGGCGTCAACTCTCTCAGCTTCAGAATAATATGTCTCAAAGCTTGGTGGGGTGATCTACCGTTGTAATTGCGCGGTACTATTAATGTTTGATTACGATGAGGATAAGGTTGCTGCCGATGCACCTAATACTAAAAATTTTGTGGCCAACGGCATATCGACTCCTGACGCGATGCTTTCCCCCGTTGCTAATTTTGCCCCAAAAGAGGATACGCCGCCTGTAAGTTTGGCTGCAATAGCCGAATTTCCGTTGTTATAAATCTCCGTTAGCTTGTGAGCATAAAGGAGAACCATGGTAGCGGTAAACACCATGGTTCAACAAGCTCTTCTGCTTTTCCTTCAAATTTCTCAAGACACTTTTAGAATCGCAAAGGCTAAGATCTTCACAGATACAAGCAATACTGGTGGCGACCTGTTCGAATGATAAGATTTTTCTCTGCTGCGTTAAGTTTCTTTAGATCTACCATGATGCTTAAGTACAAGAATCAGTTTGTTAAACACTCACAGCAAGTCTCCTGTTGATACTTGTAAACAATTTCTCATGTAAGCATGTGTTGCTAGCGGATATCATCTTGGACCTGTAATCAGGACGTTGAGGCTCAAGTGCAAGACCTGTTACAGGTAAGGAGCGGCGACATCTGATTGGCCAGATTGTGATGTGTGGGAAAAGGACTGCCGGACGTCACGTCTGACCATCGCATAGTGATGGAAAGACCGGATGGGAGTATGGTGTTTATTTGATATCTGATGGTACAAATAAACCTTATAGATGTAAAATAAAATCACCCGGATTCTTACATTTACAAGCTTTAGATTTTATGGCAAAAAATCACATGATTGCATCACATAGTGATGGGCGGGACCAGGCGTACCGAGGACGACCACGACGTGATATAGTTGCAGTAACGCACGGTTTGCAACTTGTATTTTAAATGAAAAAGTAGATTAACACCAACTATATTTCTCACTTTTGCTTCTAACAACTTGTGCAAACGTTCATTCAATTACCTATAACTAACGTAAGCGCTCAACTACAGATGTAGCTTTGTTGCCGAAATGGAGATACTTCGACGTCCAAGCATGTACAAAACGTTCCTTGTATACAAGCCACGTATTTGAGAGATATTTGAAAACTTTCGGTATACTTTTGAAAACGTTTGACAGCTCTTCCCACTATTGTTTTATATTCCACTTCTATGCTAGCCGCCACCAGAACATCCCACTGTTAATGAAACATAGTCCATTCCTCGTTCATCTAGAATTAATTTTGTATTTGGCCAGGATGTTCTTGTTAGTGTGCCATATGCACAACAAGTGGGACGAAGATGGGAATACTGTACCTATAGCTGCCATCAACGACAGCTGACGGTCTGTCAACATTAACAACTGGGCATGTATCAGGTGTCCAAAAAGTATCACTTCCCAATTCGCGCCTTCGAGCAACAACGGCCAAGAGACGAAGACCTCCAAAGAGCCGGTCAACTCAGACCTCCAAAGAGCCGGTCAACCGGCCCCCTCAGACCAGGGCGGGAAGTCCCTCCAACGGGAGGCCCAGGATATAGAGGGGGGAGGTTTTCCCTCTGCTGCGTGCGCTATGGGGGGCAAGCGCAGCGTGCGAACCGTAAGGGGAGCACCAACCTTGTCACCCCCGGGAGGAGAGGATCGACGACCGCGGTTATCATTCCCTTATTCCCCGATAATTCCTGCTATTCTACGTCAGCCTTCAAGACGCCGATTCGATCGCCGAGCGCGAATCTCGGTCCCACGAAGTGAACTTGCCAAGAACGCGAATTGATCGGCCCGTCCAGGTGCACCAGCGGTCGATCGGGACTGATCGGTGTGGTGCCCGGCGCTTGTTGCGATCATTGAGCCACTGTTTACACCTCGGGCTGGATACCCAATTCCACGTGCCCTTTTCGGAGTGTCCCCCGTGACGCCCGACGTCTCGAGCCAGCAGATTGAGCCAGCGAGGCGAAGAATGACGAAGTCCTGGTAGAAGCACTTTAGACATCTTACCAATCCTTAATGTTTGAAATAGACGGTCTGTTACTACTAGAGGTGTCCAAATAGTAGCAACTTTTAATAATGCCCCCACGGAATCTTCTTGCTTCTCTTTATTTAAAAAGCAGGAGTCGATCATAAAATGGGTATTGAAGCTTGTTATACCTACGATGGTGATGGCGAAAGGCTCGGACGTAAGGGGTGTATTTATGTATAAATTCCCAATATAAACTGGGTGTGAATTATAACAATTCCCATGAATAGTGACGTTCCAAGGTCAGCCACGTTTTTATCACGGACAGAACTGTCAATTTTGCCAACGTGCTGACTCCTTTACAACAGCGACATCTCCAAAATGGACAAACACCAAGGCGTTACTACTGCCATAGTATCTGTTGTGCCATTGTGCTGCTAAAATTAATGTATTGCTTAACAAACTTTCGGCTTTAGGAAGCAGTTTGTTTCTCCTAGAGGCTGCACGCAAATGTATAGTAATCTCATCCACTTACGACGTATGACGTTTGCCACTACAGTGCAAAAAGCGAAGTGAGATTAGATTGTAACTTAACCTAAAACCTTATACAAAATTTTAGTCTACACGGTGAACCAATCATTTTAACAGTCAACCAATCTGTAGACGGTTAAACCCAACCCGCGGTTACCGGATACCGAATCTTCAACATCGTTCAGCACTTCAACATGGTTCACCGTCCCATGGCAATGCCATCGGCCATCGGCCATCTAGAGCGTCGTGACGTCTGGAATAAATCCCAACTCGACGTAAGCATTGGGTTTGTGGATGAAATATAGTCACGACGATATGCAGTGAGAGAGAGAGGTTCAGATTGTCTATTTACACGGTGTTAACTATGTGCAAGATCTCTGGAAAGTCCTGAGCCAGAATATCAGCGCCGGATGGCCCGACGGTATATCGTGGCTGGCCGTCGTAGAACTCGGTGGCCCTCTAGGGTCGCGCTCAAGAAATTCAATGCAAGCATAAAGCAAGTCACCACGTGTGGCTGACGCAATTTTTCGACGCTCTCCCTTTGCGATTGCTCGGAGCTGACAAAGGCACGAGGCCCAAAAACTGGCGATGCTGCTGGGAATGTGGAGTGTGATAGCCTTGAAGACGGCTGCATTCCTGTCTATCCAAATTCGTGTTTGGCATATCGTCGCGAAGACATGCCAAATTTGTGTCCAGACGCGTTCGGCTGCATTGGCGTCATCCTAAAATCGGTCCGCTAGGAATTTTGTGCGGTACTCGGGTATGCTGTCAGCACGTCGACTTGCACAGGCCCCTAGAAAGTTTTGGGTCACTTGGTGGGTGACGATTTGCCCGGTCCAGTGACCAATGAGCTTTTTCCAAAGCGCTGCAGCGCAATCACATTTCCAAAACAGATGGACAATGGTCTCCTTCCTGCCGCTGCAATCCGGCGTCTTTTTGCAATTATTGCGTACAGTTCGCTCGGGTGATACAGAGTTAATTCTCTTGTCGCCACCCGGTACCCTGTCCAGACTTGATATGGAGTAAGACCATTACTATGATCCCACACTTGCGTCGGTGTTTGCTGGAGCGCTGCGCGTTGCCATTCATCCGTCGTTGCCGATTGTGAAAGGCGATCAACGAGAGCCGAAAGTTGACGGGCGAGAACTTTCTTGTGGAATCGGAAGGCCTGCTTGCCAAAGGCCTTTGTGATGAAGTGATATGACGTTGTGTCCGGAACAGACCAAGGGATCGATGAAGCTGCGGGTGTGCCTCAAATACGAGGCCCCCTCTTTGAATAGCGCGACCAATCGCCTGTCGGTCGGATGGCGAAGCGTCAGTGAGCTCCGGCAGTAATCCATGGCAGAACCAATGGATCCCATCCTCAGCTTGGTGCAAAGTGACGGGGCGGGTTTGGCCGTGTTCGCTTTCCGTTAAGTGGCCTACGATAATGCCTTTACCGAGAATCCTCCAGCGATAGCTTTTCACTTGCGGTGGTGCCTGTCAAAGCCGCAGTGGCGGTGTCGAGTTCAATTCTGTCCCGATGGGTAAGTCCGGGGATGACAATAGGAGGACTGTTGCCCACCGTCGAAGTTTCGCGTCCGAATGGGGACCGGGTTGACCCGGAAGTATGGGGACCGGGTTGACCCGGAGGTGTAGGGACCCGCATGACGAATTCCGCTGGCCCCGTTCGCAAGATGTGAAGGTGTTCGAGAGTGCAGTCCTCAATCCTATTGTACTTGGTCCTGGACAGCATGTTGCCGCTCTGGTCCCGAATCCATGGGTCGCACTCCATTTGAAGGTGGCCCAGAACCTCTGAATTTCTTCCGGCATATCATTGTACCCCAGTAGGTGTGTGGGGAAAGGGTCAATGAACGACAACACCAATCTATCCCCATCCCACCAGCTAGTAACTCGCCCAGGTCAAGCCGTCGAGTGAGCACGAATCCACGCGGTCAACTGGTCGTGTTGGTTTGTGGTCGGGGCGAGCCGTTCGCCCAGCTCTTGCTTTAGTTCCTGTCCTGGCAAGCGTGCTCGACTAGGCGATGCCCGTGGTTGCGACGATATGCAGTGTGTCTTGCACAAAGAAGGAAGGATTGTCGCATCTTCCTCAGGGAAATCGTTTGTCGAGCAGCTGTAATGCCCCAACTTGCCGGTCGCCCATGCTCAAATCCTACGAATACATGATTATGCAAACGGAACTCAGTCAAGGAACAACGGACGTACTATTTCTTACAACAAATATTTGCGTCCTTACAAGCACAATCCACACGGGATATCGTTCGACATTGTGAAGAATTTTCTGAGAGCATACGAGGACGTAACATGGCCTCGAAGCTACGAATAGTTGCTGGACTATTCGCAGCTTCGAGGCCATCTAATCCGGGAGTGCAAATCGTTTGACTACTGAAAATTCCACTCAGGATGAGCATGGGGACAAAGAAATCTACTTTCACTTTTAATTCTAGACACCGACGGCGACAATGGATAAAAAGCTCAAGGATGGCGTCGTTGGGGCTCACTCGCGCCACACTAATTTACTACAGAATGACAAACGCCTGGTCCCAGTCTGGGTACTTGTGATGATTGGACTGCTAGTTAGCGCAGAGGTGTACATCATCAGTACGTCACAAGCTTGCAATTTTTGGGAGAAAAAGTGCACTCCTACAGTTGTAGACGCCAACGATGTCGAGTATCTGAGTGATACTATCTGAGTGATACTCGACATCGTTGGCGTCTACAACTGTAGGAGTGCACTTTTTCACCGATATTACACGGAACTGAAGAGCATCGGTGCGTTGCCACCACCTGATATAGGGAAGAAACATGCCAACCTCTGCAACACGGCAAATCGGCTTCAAGCCCAATACGAGTACTGTTTGCCGATTTCGGGACGAAAGGACTCGCCGTTTTGCGATGCAGCTGATCGAATGAATTTACTTAACACGGATAGTAAGTCAATCTGTTTCGCCAGTGTACTGCACATGCTGATGGTCGAAGTGTACGAAGAGCTTCAAGCAACAGGAAATACCCCGTTCCTCACTTTTGGGTCGTTGTTAGGAGCTGTACGCAACCAGTCAATAATCCATTATACCGAAGACGTTGATATCGGCTACGTTGATAAATTGAAGATGGTCGACAAGTTAAGTGTTGCGCTGCAAAAGAAAGGCTATCACATGTTCTTCAAGGATATCTGGCGGGTGTGCGTGGCTCCGACTCACCCACTTGCTGGTCATTTGTACGACCCAGACCATTTAACGACTGAGAGTTTTGGCGTGCCGTACGTTGACTTGTACATGATGATGCAAATCAAAGGTACAGATTGGAACTTATTAGAGCTCGAAAAACTGCTGCCTAAAGACAGGGTTCAGCTATTCTCGCAAGTTACAGTTAATGGACAAGTGTTCGATACGTTTCGCGATCCAAAGTACTTCTTAACGGTAGCATATGGTTCGGACTATATGGTCCCAAAGTCCAGACAAACCCGTCAGTTGTAGCAAAATCCGGTAGCTTTACGTCTCAGTCGCGGTCAACTAGATCTAAACTACCCCAAGGCCGAGCGGACAATTCGACGTCGAGGAGAGAAGGAGCTTAAAGACGGGCATTTGGCAAAAAATAGAGAAACATACTGACTGATGTTTTGATTTGCAGTTTTGATGTTTCAAATGGTTGACTGCCGTCTAAGAACCTCTTTTTGAATCGTCGGCTCTTAAGAACTCGAACGCACTAGGCACACTAAACACATTTCTTGTAAACGCATATACAACGACGAATAGAGCTGATCAAAAATGGTAATCGGCTTACTTCTGATTTTGTCATACGGTCCAGGGTGCCTTTTGATACCAAGTGGTAGCTCAACTTCTTTAACATCCAGCAAGTATCGAATGCGTGTTGGCGGTGTGAAAATAGATTTCGATCACGATAACACTTTTGAACCAACGTTGCAACTTACTTTACAAGTCCAGCACTCGCATCGTTCAGTGTGCTTAGTACGCAAGACGGATAAAGTGGCGAAAACGCCGAATAGTTGCCATCGCAGATGCCATGTCAGTCGTAGTTTGACGACGAAGAAGACGACACATTTATTCTCCAGAGACCACAAGTTACCATCACACCTCCTCTTGGTGTCACGTACGCTCGGCAGTAGCGACGACAGAAACTTCAAGAAACCAAAAAAAGTAGCAACTTCATAATGTGCAAGCTTGTCTGCCACCCGTCAGTTATGTAAAGACTTTGAATTTACCTGCGTAAACACAGAGAGTCTCCGTCGCTACCAAACATTCAACACGCTGTTAGTCTACAACTCGTCCTTCATGATCTTGCGCAGCTCATAGGAGATATGGATGGCGCTTGGGCGCTGCGCATGGTCAAACGATAGACACGCACGCGCCAGCTTCACAATAGACGACGGGCACGACTCGTTAAAGCTCGGCTGCAACTTGCCAGCTGACACGAGCTGTAGGATCGTCACATCCTGCATCTTGCCGCCGTTGGTATTGGTAGCGTCGTAAAACGGAGCCTTGCACGTGTCAAGCTCAGATAGCACCACACCGAATGAGTAAATGTCAGCAAACTCCGTGTAGTGTCCGCCTAAGATGACCTCTGGAGCAATCCAGCGGGCCGTGCCCACACCAGCAGTCATGGTCTCGTCAAAGCTGCGGTTACGCGAGATGCCAAAATCGCTCAGCTTGGCGCCACTCTGTGCGTCGATCAGTACATTTCGAGACTTCAAGTCACGGTGAATGAGCTTTGGGTTCAACGTGTGCATGTATACGAGTGCATCGGCGATATCAATGGCAATCTGGCACTTCAAATTAGCCCACGTCAACGAACTGGCACGACTCGAGTCCAACAGCGATTTGAGGTCACCACAATCCATAAACTCGGTCACGGCTTGAATAGTTAGTGCGTTGGTCCATGACACACCGATAAAGCGAACAATCTTGGGGTGCTCCAAACGTGCCATTACCTTGATTTCTGTCGCAAATGCCAGCGCGTCCTGCATTGTTTTCTTGTCACCCAACAGTCGCTTGATGGCAACATTTTCATTCATGTACAGACCTAGCCATACTTCACCAAAACCACCACGAGAGAGCAGCTTCACAGCTTCCACATCGCGGTGCTCAATCCGTGCTGCAAGCAAATCTGGGTCATTCCAAATTGACGAACCAAATGTCGTGTCGCCGCCTGTAAGACTCGAGCCAAGATCTGTGCCAAAAATCGTCGACCCGCTCTTTGTTGCAAACTGACCGCCGTGTTTTTTGCGATACCACAAGAATCCGATAATAACCAGCACCAGGAGACCGCAGCCTACACCTAGCACGATGGGTAGCGTATGACTGCTGCCTCCATTGGACGACGTTGACCCCACACAAACCTGTACATTAGCATTATTCAGCGTCGTAGCCGAGTAACCCGAGCCACAATCCGTAATCGTCACGTCAGCATCAAAAGCCGCCAAATTCTGTAGCAGAGCTAGCTGCGACGCCGACACATGTACATTCATTAACTTACAACTGGTCATGTACAGGTACTTGAGTGCTCCGGATTCTGCCATGCTAAAGACATTGTCCGGGATACTTGTATAGGGGTTTCCTGTCAGATTAAGTGTCTGCAGTTTATTTAACACGACAGGAAAGTCTGTAAGCATGTTGTCTGCCAAATTTAGGTCGGTCACGGTGCTGAGGCCTGTCCAGATTTTGCTGGTGCTGACAGGCAGATCCAAGATGTAGTTCATTGATAGATCCAGCTTCACCAAAGCAGAAAAGTAGCTCATCTGCTCTGGAACTGTAACAAGGTTGGTATTTTTCAAATACAACACCGAATATGTCGTCACAAGTGACACGGACGAGATAATTTTTCTCAAGTTCACACTGATCAAAAACATGCTGACAACGCTCTTTGGCGTGTTAAAGAACGTCTGGTCCAGCAAAATATTCTTAATGTTGTTCTTATCTGTTGATTCGGTCGGAGTTCCCTGTAATTGACTAAGAGATTGTATGTGAGATATTAAGAATCAATACAATAACTATAACTGATATCAAAACACATACACTGATAAGGTAGAGCTACTATAACTCAAATCTGCAATCTGCGTCACATATGCCATCGTCTTATCTTCTGTATTGGCATTAGCTTCAAGTGCCAAAAGCCACTGATTTTTATCCCACAAGAGCGTATCCAGACACTGATACGTTAAATTACATTCAGTATTCGTCCCTGGTACCTCAAATTTACTGTCACTGTAACACGGGCCGCTTGACCCGAGCTTAATGCATTCTTTCTGAGAGGGTGAGTACAGTACACATGGATTTGCTGCACAATTGGAAGGACAACCAGATGAGGTCAAAAGGTTTTGTTTAAGTGCTGTGCAGTCGGCAGCACGTGACTGATTGAGCTGTAGTAGCAATAGCAGTCCCGAGTAGCGCCAAATGTGTTTCATTTCTATCCCTTAATTTACAATGTGAGCAGTTTCTTGAGATGTGGAAGACGAGAACTATAGGTAGGATAAGGAGGGATAGGGAACGGGGTTACTATGTAAGGTATTTTGGCTTATTTCCAGGTATATAAAGTCGTATTTAGGCGATTTCGTAGAGCCAATTAGGACCATTTCATACTTAAGAGTTCTCATACTGCGGCTATCTTGTAATTTATAAGGAGCGAGACCAAAAGCAAGAAGCCAGCTGGTATGCGCAAAAATTTGTAGTCTGTATACATAGGGGATCACTGCTTCTACGTTTAGATGTTGTTAAAGAAAGGTCGTGAATTTCAGAAGTCAACGTCATGACTTTCTTTTTGGTTGCATCATAAATTGGTTATACTATAAGTATTAATTCTCAAACAAATTATATTGCCTAAGTAAGTGGCGTAATATTGTAATGTATTCTGAATAAAAACTGCCTAAAGTGATACCCTTTGGAACTCACTAAAAGCAGAATAAGCAGACAGAATAAGCAGATAAGAGGAAGGCAGTAATAAAGTAGGCAACTTTTTCTGAATGCCTATTATACAGCATAAATGTAGCACCTTTTGCTTACCAGCACCACTGCAATCTATTAAAAAATCGGATTGGTAAGAAGCCAATGATAATATCTTATACAGATTACGAAAACAATATAAAAGTCACGGTTTAATTGAATTTTAGATTATTTTGTCTCGTGCTTCTAAATTTACTGCTCTTCGGATGTAGAAGCAATAGACTAATCAGATTATTTCATAAATTTGTTATGGGGGCTACTTAACAAATAGGTGGGGGATAAATAATAGAAGCCAAGTTTGTACCAAATAAAGGAACTGCTTGCACGCCAACCTTAATGGACACATACGGACGGTTCAGCTTCAAGTAAGAGCTGTCCTATAAATTTAGCTGTAAGCAACTACAGCTACTGCAGATGAGCAAAGACAAAAGTGGTGACATTATCGACGATTTCACGTCTATCTGGACTGCTCTGATTGCCTCCTCGATATCTCTGCTGCCACGCAAACAAGCATGCACCTTTGTAACAAATGACTACAGTAGTCGTTTAAAATTCTCTTAAACGGATTTAGCAACAAGTACGTCTCCAAAAATGTCCAGTCTTATGTAAGGTGGCCCAGTTTACGAAAGAGGCTTTTTCAATCGAAAAAATTAATTGGAAACTCCAGCACTAAAAATACTCTACAGGGTGATGACTGTTTTCAGTCGTTTGATAAAACGCGTTTGACTGTGTAAATGTTATCAGAAAAACACCGGTCAAAGAGGTGTTTTCTTATTAAAAGGTTACGCAATAATCAGCACATCGCTTTCTCATTGGCCAAAACCAATGTCAAGCACCCTTTCAGTTGAAAAACCTGCCGGTCATCAATGAGATCGCTCGTCCTCCTTCGTCACCGCATTTAACCAGTTACTTCTAATCTCAATGCGATTATTCCCTTTGTTTCTCATGCAATTTGCGATCATAGACGCTGTCCCTTTCCGGTTACCGCTGACAAGACGAAGTTTCAATATTGCTACCATCGAAACTGACTGGATCCACTCGAAAGCTACTGCGTATCATCCGGAACATCCCTGGAAACAGGAAGAAACCTACTCTACAGACAATGCAGCCCATCCCCCTCTACCTCATGCCAAGCGCACTACGCTTCAAAATTTTGGCAATGTGCAGTACATTGGATCTGTAGGCTTTGGACACCCCCCACAATACCTGGACATGATATTTGACACTGGGTCCAGTGATACGTGGATTCCTGGTATAAACTGCACGAGCTATGGCTCGCACCATCAGTTTGATATACAGAAATCAACAACTTGTCGTGATACAGATGAGAAGTTCTACGACGTGGTCAGTGGTCTGCTACTGTTTTGCCAAAGCTTAAAAACAAATCCCACATTCTGACCTTTTTGTGCTTTTTGACGCAGTATGGAAGCGGCTCGGTGTCAGGCACAGTGGTAGTAGATTCAGTGAGTATCTCGGGTTACACAGTGAATAGCGCTCGCTTTGGTGTAACCGATGACGAGAGTGAAATGCTGCAGGATTTTCCGGCTGATGGGATTTTTGGAATGGGGTTCGAGGGTCTTGCGCATATTAGTCGACCTACTGTGTTCGCGGCACTGGCAGGACAGAATGCAGACCTGGAGAACATGTTCGCCTTCTTCCTTACACATGAAGCATATCTTACAGGCAGTGAGTTGCATATCGGAGGTTATGACTTGTCAGTGGTCGGCCCGAACGCATCATTTCATTACACGCCCGTGGTCAAACTGCCAGAGTTCGACTCCTTCATGTACTGGACTATCAAGGTAAACAACTTTTTCATTCTCCCGCAGAGTATTGACGTAGATGAAAGCAACGGCAGGAGATCCAAGACAGACGTTACCGCCAATATATGCGCGCCATTTTGTTATGCTATCATTGACACGGGCACGTCGCTGATCAGCGTGCCAGCGAGTCAGTTCAACGAGGTTGTCACTAAGATTACGCGTGGACTTAACTGTGACGGCATCGATTGTGACTCCGTGTCTGTCGAGGACTTCCCGGTCCTGCATTTTGGCATGGAGCCGGACAACGTCTTTTTGCTGCAGCCTCAAGACTATGTGCTGTGTTCGAAGTGGAGCCAGTGCAAGCTTCAGTTCCAGTCGACAACAGATCGATGGTGGATTCTTGGAGACGTCTTCATCAAGACATACTACACATTGTTCGATGCCGAGCGTATGCGCGTGGGCTTTGCGTGCGATGGCGACGTCTGCCAGGGCGGCCAAGGGAATAATTATGGAGACAACAGAGAGAGCCGCCTGCTCACCGCGTGGGAGAACGCCTTCTTTTTAGGCTCGTGCTTTGCGGCCGCAAGCATGTTCCTATTCGTGCTTCTATTGAACCAACAGAACGAGGAGCCATATTTGCACCAAATGATAGCATCCCTCGGCGGTCTCATTGACCGGCGCGCCAACTCGTCGCAGGAATTCCAGATACAGAATCCAAAACGGCCGCTTTTGTACGAGAAGAACAACCACGCGCGCTTGGCTTCTTTCACTAATAACTCACAGACGTTGCACTACACTGAGGCGCGATGAGACTTATCACCGTGGCCGTCGCTTTCTTGCTCAAATGATTGGCTAGCAATTGACGGCTTTTTGTGTATAAATTTAAAGAGGCGCAAGTCATATTTAACGCAACTGTTAACATCGTTTTAGTTGACTTGGCATTTGTAGAGGATTGAATGTGAAAAAAACTTGCCTTGGGTTTTATGTGCTTTTATGTGCTTTTATGTGCATCCATTGCTATGCTATTTATGCTTCAAGTGTGGATTTTATGTGCTTCGCCGCCTTTGCGCTTTAAATGCTCTATTTTTTCGATCCCGTAAAACGCCCCGACCGGATGTTTGTTGATTGCTTGCTAAGCTGTAATTATGGTAATTTATGTAGCATTTGAGAACTAAGAAAGCAAATTATGTCAAAAACATATTGCCTTGTCATATTCAATTTCGGTAGAAACACATCCCCACTCCGTATTAAGCCATCATCCACCCTAAACAATCATTTTTATTGGGTTGCGCCCCTGTCTCTCCCGGGTTTTGTTTCTACCAGTCAGTATTTCATGTTTCAGCAACAGTCCTACCCCTCGCTACTTCGCAATTTTTCTCCCGCTCTAAACAACCGAAACTGAGCGTTAAAAAAGCTAAAAATTCTCTAAACGCTTGTTCTATTACAACCAAGTAAGTACCTATAGACGCTTTAAAGTCAGTAGTTTAGCTGTTCATACACACACATTTACATTCATCCACACGCACATATTAAAGTGTCGAAAGAAAAAGAGAGAGAAAGAGAGAGGGACCGATACAAAAATCAAGTGATGCGCCTTCCTTTGGCGTTTTTGTTACCGCTAGCGGTCGTAACGACGCAGGTGCAAGGGGCTGAGGCCGCGAATGGATCACTACCTACGTGGCTTGCGTACGTTACTGGTGGATTACTGGTCATTATTATAGTGTACTACTGCTGCCGTCGCGCACGTTTTGATGAGAATTTGCAGCAGCCGTTACTGGGTGGTCAATACACAGAGGATGGACAGCCCATGACGCGCCAAGACGTGCAGGAATCGAACGATGAGGTGAGTACCCAGTGGCAGTGTGAAGTGTGTGACTTTCACAACAAGAGTTCAGCCAAGGCGTGTGTTCTCTGTGGTACGGAACGCGGCTTTAGTTTGGGTCTTAACTCCCCCGTGCGGCCTGCAAATACTGGACCCGTGGCTGTTGAGACGGATCTTCCAAGAGAAAGGAGTTTTAATCGAACTCGTTCTTTTGCTATTCGACGGCTGAATATGCTTAATTCTCGTCAACGAGGAGCCAGGAACCGCCAGGATTGGGTACGCAAGGTCGGTATTGACGGCAAACGCTATTGGGCCAAGAGAGATGTGCCGTTTTTATTGGGAAATACAAAGCCTAAAGTGGACGACAAAGCAGTAACTGGAGACGATGAAAATGTTAACAAGAAACTTAGTCTTCGAATTAACATTTCAGCCACTGACGCTGACATGCTATCGCCTAAGAGCGCTGGTGTTGATATGGCGACTGCAACGTCCACAGCTTCGACGGTTTCGTCAGTGGCAGATCCCGACAAAGAGCTCGTGCAGCAACAGTCCCTGGCTTTTGTGTCGCAATTGGCTCAGACCCCTCGGCATCCGGAGGGTCGTATGACTTTTAAAGAGTATCGCGAAGTGGACGCTCGTGTGGCATCTCGGGGCTATGAAATTTCAGAACAGGACCTGGAGATTCTCGAACAGGTGGCGGCGTTGCCGTTTAAGGACAAATACGCTTGGTTTCTTGAACAGACGTCGGCTTTGATAAAACCGTGGGAAGATGGGCACTTGAAGATGCGCGTGCACCGTGAAAATATATTGGTGGAATCTATGGAGCAGTTGCTAGGTGTGCAGATGGAGCACATACACATGCCGCTTCGTATTGAGTTCATTGGTGAAGTAGCTATTGATGCAGGTGGACTGGAGCGCGAGTGGTTCTCACTCGTGACGGAGCGTTTGTTCGATGAAACGATTGGTCTGTTCATGTGTGCGCATGTGGACTCGCTGGCTTATGTTATCAACCCGAATTCCGTCGAAGCCTCGGCTGATCACCTGCTATACTTCCGAGGGGCGGGTCGGCTGCTAGGTCGTGCTTTGCTGGAAGGTCAATTGATGAAGGCTCACTTGGCGCTTCCTGTATTGAAACATTTGCTTGGCGTCCCCATTTCGTTCAGTGATCTGGAGTTTTTTGACCAGGAAGTGCACAACTCGCTTAAGTGGATGAAAGAGAATTTTGGTGTGGATGCACTCGGTCTGGACTTTACAGTCACTAATCGTAAATTAAATGGTGAGGTGGAAACTATCGAGTTGAAGGAAGGCGGCAAGGATATTGACCTGACAGACGAGAACAAGCAGGAGTACATCTATCTGCGTCTGCGCTACATTATGCTGGATTCGTATGCTGAACAACTACAGCATCTCATGGCTGGCGTATTCGAGGTTATTCCGCAAGAATTGATTCTCGTGTTTGACTACCAGGAGCTGGAGCTAGTGCTGTGTGGTGTGCCATCCATTGATGTGGATGACTGGAAAGCGCACACCCAGGTCTCAGATGAGCTGCCTGAGGATTTACTATCGTGGTTCTGGGAAACTGTTGAAGCGTTTACGGACGAGGAGCGCGCGCGTTTACTACAGTTTACGACGGGTTCGTCGCGTGTGCCCGTGCAGGGTTTTAAGGCACTTACGAGTTACGACGGGCGCATTTGCCACTTTACGCTGAAGGCCGTGACTTTCCCGGAAAATGCCTATCCGCGGGCGCACACATGCTTTAACCGCATCGATTTGCCGCTGTACAAGTCGAAGAAAGAGCTGGAGGAGGTGCTGTCGCTAGTGATAAATATGGAAGTCACGGGTTTCACAGACGAGTAAATTGGAATTTTGTACAGCTGAAGGTTTAATGCCGCGACTGCATTATCGTCCGAGTTGCACGCGTTGTCGATTAGCATCACGAGTTGAAAGTAGACTAGCCTGAACAAGATACTGTGGAGATGCTCTTAGCGGCTGCTCATCGAAAGGGAGGCGCGTTAGCGGTGCCACGCAGTTGGATGAGAAGCATTACTAGGAAAAAAAGCAGGAAACAGAAGCAGAAAACGAAAACCAAAACAGATTTACTGCTTTGCTACATGTTGTTTATGATGCGCTAGTGGACGGGGTCAACATGCTAGAGCACGTTTTGGCTCCTGAAAGGCAACGAGAAGGAAGAAAATTGGACAGCACAAGGCATATATTTTCACTCACTTCGTACCGTTGTCCGTTCAAAATGAGCTAGCCGTGTACTCCCGTCCCACTTTGCGTTACACTCTTGGCCAAGATGCATGGTATCACTTATCACAGCAGTCCATATCCTCCACAAGAGCCGACAAAAGCTAGCGGTCATCGTATCAAAACTTGGAGGAGTCATTGCCTGCAGCTGCAGCAGCCTGTTGCTGCAAAGCAAACGCCGCAGCAGCTTCATGCGTGCCTACAGTAACAACAACCCACACTGGATCGCCAAAGAATCCTCCCGAGCAGTGCAGTCTCCAGCTACCAACATATGATCCTGGTTCCGATGGCATGCATAATGGTGCATGAATGTCTATCCGTTGACCTACTGGCGCCGCCACCTCAATTCTCTCTGGCCCTTCGAAGGTCGTGCCTTGCGCAAACAAGAGTTGTGTATCTATCGGCCATGCCTCATTTCCAGTATTAACAAAACTCCATTGCTACAAATAAATAAAACAATATCAACACATTAACAATATCCTTTCTCAAATAAACCATCTCTTCTTTTTGCTTACCATGTGTACTGGTGTCTCTGGCGCGAAGAGCGTATTTTGCATTGCGGACAAGTCACTAATAAATTGAGCCTGATAGGAGGCAGAATTAGGCTGCTGATGTTGTTGTTGACTGTGTCTATTAATTATATCTTCATCATCTTCCATGTCCACTTCTTTTGCTGCATCAATTCCTTCCGTAGAATTCATGCCTCCTGTGGTCTCCATCGTGACAAGATAATTATTGGCTGCCGTCTCTACATTCCAATTGCACGATTCAAGAAAAAATGTGGCTGTTTGCACATCCAGTTGCAACAAATGGGCAAATTGGTCCACTAACTCATCCCGATCACTGGTTGTAATGCTTTGAAACATCTGTAGTAGATCGTCGGCCATGTTTGCTTCTTTTCAAGAAAATTTTATTTTACCTCAAATAAAACAAGTTTAAAAGGTTTGACACACCTTGTCTTTACTTTTTTATATAAAGTATTGAAACGAAATGGAGTACAAATAGAACGTAAAAGATAAATGGTTATTTAAGTAAATGTCTTGGGAGCTTGTTGACGATGCTGAATCTTGCGAGAAATTTATTTTCACTTTTAGAGCTTAAAAAAGTGTTTTTTTAGCTTGCGTTCTTACGATACCGATAAACCGAAAAAGATGGTACGGCCAATCAAATTATTAGAAATAAACTCATTGTTGCTCAATGGTTTCTTGCCATGTTCAATCAAAGATGTCTTGCTGCTCACAAACGTCCAGCTAAAAAAGGCAATATATTATAACTCTCATTTTTAAAGCGAACCTCGTACAGTATCGCGATGCGCTTCCATTTAATATATATAGGCTACAGACGTTGCTGCTATACAAAGCACGAATAATTTAAGACGTAGGTGCACCTATATATACTTCCCAATTACTGGTGTCCGTAAAAACTAAAGTGCAGGTCCAATATCCCATGCTATACACTCTGCCGCTGCATTAGTAGACCTTGCGTGGTGGTGGTGAGATATTGGGCTTAATGCTGATGATAATGCCACGGACTGAATGTTTGTATCGTACCGCACTTGTGAGCGAGATCATTTACGCCCGAACTCGCAGTCTCGCTTATGCGAGTCAAAGACTCGGCCACATCAAAGCCAATGGCGACTGCACCATTAAAGTCAGTTTTTATGGCCGCGTTGCTTTGAAGGCGTACTCAAAACTAACGAAATGTTAAGGGAGCGTGGCACAACACTTTTCGCAATCACTACTTTTTCCAACGCACCAGACACCAGATCTGCAGTGTCCACACATGTAAGGGGTGTACCGTTACACAATTAGCAATAGTTAGTTTCATATTACATAAGTAGTTATATGCTACACCCGAGATAGAGGGTGTAGCCATTCGTATCTCTATTTGCAGGCCAGTGAGAATTAGTCTCATTATCAGCCAATAGGAGAGATGTCTGTAATGGAGTGGTTTCCATGCGTTTGGTAACCACTCGTACTTAGTCTAAAAACATCAAAATTTTAGACAATAGAGTGATAATTACCGTATCACGCTAGTTCTGCGTGCTCCCTTACGCTTTATTGTAAGACCTAAAGTGTGTGTAAGTAACAAAGCTCTAGCCCCGTTACACCTGGTAGCGCTTCGTAGTCCTTTCAACGAATATGAGCGCTCTGCCGATACAGGGTGCTAGCGAGAGGGTGTTGTCACACGATGACTTTGAACATCTGACCCTCTTCAAGTGGGAAGCTCTGCGTCGCCTGGCCGACTTAGCCGGCCTTACTACCGTAGTTGCCATGCTCATAGATACGCCTGAACGGCTCCAACGTGTAGCCATTCAAGACTTCGTCAACCGCGAGCTCGCCGAGTTACGCCGGGAAGCTTCAACTCCCGCAGTTGTCACGGGATCTAACGTCATTAAACTCGACGTTTCGAGTTACATTGGCGAGGGCCCAAAGCGCCTTGCGCTCAATCGATGGCTTTGTGAAGTGCACATCGCTGTCCAAGCCCGCCAGCTATCGATGGAGTTCACTCGTACCCACTTCCTCCTGTCTAAGTTGACTGGTACAGCAAAAGAGTGTGCATTGGGAAAGCTTGTTGCCAATTCGGGATGTTTCCCGGACATGCAGGCCCTAACAGACGACTTGCGCTTGGCGCTTGAGCCTCCGCAAGACAAGCACCACCACCGCTCCGCATTCTTTGAGCCTCCGCAAGACAAGCACCACCACCGCTCCGCATTCTTTGCATTGCGGCAGGGTAGTAAAATACATTCAACGCGCGCGACATCTGGCATCGTGTATATTCGCCTACCCTATCGACACGGTGACACAAGTCTATGTGTTCGTGACCGGGATGAATGCTGGGTATCAGCGTTTTTACTTAAGGCGAAAATCTCTTCTCATGAAGAGGCGTTCAGCATTGCTCTGCGTGAAGACTACAGTGTCTTGGCTTCGCAAGTGGGTCACTCGCTTCCCCTACGCGCCGCTCAGGAGCCTGAACCAATAGAGATCGATGCAATCGGGCCAGCTGCAGGTCATAGGCGTGCTTCCAGTCACAGTTCTAGAAAGCCTGCAACAGCGAAGAACCTGGTCTGGTCTTCTTCCGCTGTCGTAAGCCTGGTCATCGCGCAGCCTTCTGCCGCGCGCCTGCACCATTGATCGCTGTCGCCAAGTCTGGCGTCTCCGTCTCCCTCACCGGGCAGCCAAAAAACGGCGAGAACCAGTAGGCGCGGGGCGTCCTACTGGGCGAAGACGGAAGAACTTGCCTACGGTGGTGACACGTTCTCCTATTACCGCTGTGAATTATGCGCAGCTGAATGCCACCACGTCATGCAATGATCCTCGTTTGATTGTGCTCAGTGTTCGCGTCGACAGTGCGTCGCGTTACATCGCGCTTTGCTGGACTCCGGCGCGACGAACGATTTTGTCCGCGCCGACAGTCTGTCGATCCCCCCCTAACGGCTGCGTGTCCGTGAGTCTCCTGGGGAGATGGTCGTTAAGTATGCAGACGGCAAACCTCGCACGCACCGGAAACATTCGGTGGTGTTCCCTTACCGGTTCGATACTTTTACCAGTAGTGATGAAATACAAGTTATTGACTCGAGTGGATCCTTTGACTGTATTTTTGGGATGCCGTGGCTTGCGCGGCATCGAACCGACATTGATTGGCTGAACCGTACTGTCCAGCCACGTGACATCGATGTTAAAGCGGTACTCGCAGTCCTTGATTGCCCTGCCAGTACGTGGCAGCATGTTGCCGTCGCGGATCCCGATCCCACGACTCATCCTACCCCCCGAGTGTGCGATGAATGGTGTACAACTATGCAACGTGCTCCTCCTCAGTCGAACAGCGGTTCCTGAGTCAAGAATTTAACCCGCAGCAGTGGCTTCGGGTGTCGCACGGTCGAGCAGCGATTCCGCGCATGCAAAATCTTCCAAAACCGTTACCGAAGCAGAGGCTTCCGGTACGTCACGAGCGTGAAGTGGCACCCGTTTCCGTCCACGTTGAGGATACCACGCCGAGGCAGGGGCCTCCGGCGAGTTACGCGGAAGCAGTGGCTTCCGTACGCCCAGTTGATTATCCGGTTTGTGTTTCTGTGTCGCGACGACGTAGACGGTGCCGTGCGCGTCATCACTTCATTGTGCCGTCGAGCTCTTCCCCGCCGACTCCGCTTCTTGAGACCATTAATGTCGTTAACATGACTGGTGTTGATCCATCCAGCCATCCGTCGCAAGTCGCAATTCCGCCTCGCGATGCGTCTGGAATCACGCAGCTGCCGAACTTACTTGGGAAGAGATGCTGCGTGCCAACACGGCAAACGAGAAACGACGGCGAGCAACTCCTGGCACCGTCCAACGTGTCGGTGTCTAACCATTTGCGAACATTTGTGGAGAGTCTTCGTGTCCGGAAGCAGTACGACTGCAGCGAAATTGAACGTTCGCGTGGCGATGGAGAAGTACTCGGAAAAAACGACCTCGGCTACTTATGCCGTAAGACAAGCTTCGCTAAATGAGTCTTGGATCGCATTCGTCCGCCTGTGGAACACCGAAACGTCTTTTGACGAGCTCGTACCGATACGCGAAGATCAACGTCGTCGTTATGGGCTCGCGGAGACTCGCGAGAGGGTATGTGAGCTGTCTTGGGCCGCGGACCGTCATTCATTCTTCGTCCACTGGCGAGAACGTTGTCATCATTGTGAGCGCCATGGCTTAGCGCAACCGAAACGCACTCAGTGGATGTTCTTTTGTGGCGATTGTCCGTTTTCCGAGGAGGAGCGCACGTGGATTGGGAGGTATGAGCGAGTTCGTGATGAACACCAACGAGCGCATGGGTGGACTCGATTAAACACGGATGTACGTAAAAACTCTGCACTGACCCAAAGAACTCTCCCTCGAACGACGGAGGTTCCAACATCGCGGCCTGCGCGGCGTTCTCAATCAGAAAGTCCTCTAATATCGCGAGCTGCTATGCGCTCGCGATCCCGCTAACCTCCCGGTCGTAGTCGCTCACGATATCCGGAACATCCGCGAGAAGTGTTGCGCGAGGTTCCTACGTATCGCTATTCGGGGGACAGCCGAGACAGCGAACGCGATAATATCGTGTATCCGGAACGAGGTTTGTCTGAGCGCGGGCGGCGCCATGAACAGTCTGAGGCGGTTCACGATAATCCCGGTTTCTTTTTAGTAACTAACGTGGATTTCCAGCGCTGTCAACCAGCGATGGTGGACCGTCGCTCTGCAACGCATCGTGAGGCACCGGAGTCTAAAAGACCGGTGCCGACTCCTTTGGTCGCGGCGCATCTCCAGGAGGTTGATCGGCGGGTGACGCTCGTAGACCATGATGCGAGCCAAGCACGGGAGCTGTCTGAGGCTGCGGAGAGTCTCGCGGAGGAGGCTTCTTCTGCGATTGCTGGGTTCGCTCAGCAACCCAAGCGCTTGGAGCAGTCAAATGCTGCTCTTCGACGAGACAACGCGGAGTTGCGCGGGCTGCGTCAGCCCAATTCGCAAAGACCTCCGCGTTATCGGGGATCGCGTTATGCATCTGCATCGGATCAGTCGACGACGGGAGGACCGCCGGCTAGTAACGCTTGAGACGACCGACGTAGAAAGTAGGGTGTAGACGCATCGACTAAGGGATGTCCAGCTCGTAGGAATCCCCATTCACCTTAATTACTTTGAATGGACCAATATGCCGTGGTGCTAGTTTCGGTGTGCCGAAATTTGTCACTGACGCGTCGGTTATGCTTGTCGTCGAAAGTAGAATCAAATCACCAACCTTGAAGTTCTCAAAGTTCTTGCGTCCGCGTTGGTCTGCGGACTCCTTCTGCTTGTCGACCGCAGCGGCAATGTCGTCGCGCACAAATCGCACGACAAATTGGCGATGTATCACAAATTTGTCGATCACAGTAGAGTCCGACGGACGGACTCCAGATGGAGACTGATCTGCGCTTGCCGGAGGAGAAATTGCTGTGACTTGGAACGCGTTTGCACCGCATGTAGCGAGTCGGGTAATGTCTTTCTCGAGGGCGCTAGTGGCACCGAGACATTCGGTGTCCCTCCCCCAGCAAGAAAATAGAAGAATCGTTCAAACCAAGAAGAGCCGGGACGCGCGGATGGTGGGCGTGATCTACGAAAAAGGGAGTTAAACCAGTCGAAGCGTGAACACCGTTGTTTAACGCCAAATTCAGTCATGGGGAGGAACTCGCTCCATGACGAAAAATACTTGGCATAACTGCACAAAACTTCCTCCAACATGCGATTGTCTCGCTCGGTCTGTCCATCCATTTCAGGATGCGCAGTGGTAGACATCATCAGACGAGTCCCGATAATTTCGAACAAGCGAGACCAGAATGTGGCCGTGAATCGAGGACCGTGGTCTGATACAATCGTGGCGGGCATGTCATGATGTTTGAAGACCATGTCTACGAAGAGATCCGCGGTGTCCTCGGCCGTGATGGAAGCAGCGACAGGTGGAAGATGCGCCATATTACTAAACCTGTCCACGATATCTAGGATGCGTGTGCGCCCCTGCGCATCGGCTGGTAATCCAAAGAAGAAATCCATACTCACGGAATTTCAAAGGCTCGTGGATATCGGGGGAGGGCAAAGCGGGGCCTGTGCTGACGGGGTCGGCTTCACACACTGGCACACCTCACAGGACCGAGCACACTTGCGGACCCACTTATATATTTAAGGCCAATAGAAGTTCCGAGACTGCGCGAGGTACGTCTTCTCGCGACCCAGATGGCCACTGCTGGCGCTATCGTGGTGCTCGTGGAGAACACGGACACGAAGATCGTCGTCGAGTGGGTCGAAGAAACGAGGAGTGTCAAACTGATCAGTTTAAAACATGAGCAACTTGCCATCGAAGGAGTACCGCACAGTGTGGGCGCGAGTGGAAGCTGAGAGCGAGCGCAATGCTTCGTTTGAGGGGTCGCTACAGTAGCGGACGATCGGTGAGTAAAACACATCACGTGAATACACCTCTGCGATGTCATCACGCAACGGGTTGACGGCGGACACAACCGTGATATTAGTTCCAAGCGTCGCACACGCGATGCAATCGTCGTCATCGGCGTCCGTCGTGGCCACAGCCGGTGTATCGTCGCGGGGATCATTGTCGGGTCTCCGCGATAAAGCATCTGCGATAATGTTTGTTGATACAGGCTTTTAAAGCACCACAAAGTTGTACTCAGTAGATAATGACAACCAACGCGCCATGCGCTGGCTGAGGTTTGAGCTCTTAGTCGCGGTCCGTAAGGACGCATGATCGGTGTAGATAATGAATATCTGCTCTCCAATCAAATAAACGCGGAATTTTACGAGTGCGTAACGCATCGCTAGTAGCTTCTTGTAGTGAATGGGGTAATTGCGCTCGGCAGCTTTTAACTGCCGAGATTGGTAACTCACCACACGTTCGTTACCAATTTCGTCATGCTGCATTAACGCACATCCTATTGCGAAATCACTCGCATCGCAAACAACTTGTAACGGGGTTTCATGATGAAGCAGCGCTAATATTGGAGCTGTAGAGAGTCTCGTTTTGATCTCGTCAAATACTGACTGGTGTTCCTGGCGCCATACCCATATGGCGTCCTTCTTAAGCAGTTGTGACAGTGGGTAAATCACGGACGCGAAGTTCTTTGCGTATTGATGAAGGTAGTTTGCCAAGCCCAACCATTAATGGAGATTCTTCTGGTCCTTTGAACTGGCCAAAACAAAATCTCCGAAATTGTTCCGGATCAGCGCGAAAACCCTTTGCGCTAACATAGCTGCCCAACACGGAAATATCAGGGCATAAAAGATGCATTTCTTCAGGTCTGCTAGGAGTTTGTTCTTGCGCCTCGCTTCAAACACCTTACGTAGGTGGCCAAGATGCACATCTAGGTCTGTTGCGCCCTCAGTGGCGCGACTGTGAACTAAGATATTGTCGAAGTAGCTCAGCGAAAAATCGCAAAATAGGGGAAGAACGTGAGATACCATATGGCTAAAAGTAGCAGGGGCATTTTTGAGCCCCTGCGGCATCACAAGCTACTCCCACAACATACCGCTAGGCGTGCTGACGGCGGTAAGCGGAACATCCTCAGGACGCATCACGATTTGGTAAAAGCCGTCCGTCAGGTCTAAGGACGAGAAAATCGTGCTTCCTGACATGATATCTACAACCATGTCTTTTCGCGGAATTGGTGTCTGCGCTGGAATTGTCGCGTCGTTAAATTTGTTAAAAGCGTGAGCAATACGCCATCCACCTGTCGCCTTCTTGACACAGAAGGTGGGAATCGAGTGTGGCGATGTGCTCTCGCGCACGTGGCCAGCCTGACGACGCCCTTGAAAAAGACGCCAATTGCTTCAACCTGTTCACGTGGCAACGGCCACTGACGTGTCACGTAGTGCTTCGACCCAGGAACGAGATCTATAACGTGTGCACACCTCTGTCGGCGGGAAGAACTGCAGGAATGGTGTCAGGAAAGACATCAGAGAATTCGCGCGCGAGAGCGAGAACAGGGTTCATCGATGCATCGAGTTATTCCTACGATTGAGCTTCAAATAGCTCCTCGCAAGCGAACTTCGGTTCCATTCCTTTCGAGCGCTCATGATTTTGGAATGTCGGAGCTTGAACGACTACACATAGTTGTTCGATCTATCCCCCCTCAAGTCACTCAGTATCTCTTCCCAAGTAAGTTCGGCAGCTGCGTGATTCCAGACGCATCGCGAGGCGGACTTGCGACTTGCGACGGATGGCTGGATGGATCAACACCAGTCATGTTAACGACATTAATGGTCTCAAGAAGCGGAGTCGGCGGGGAAGAGCTCGACGGCACAATGAAGTGATGACGCGCACGGCACCGTCTACGTCGTCGCGACACAGAAACACAAACCGGATAATCAACTGGGCGTACGGAAGCCGCTGCTTCCGCGTAACTCGCCGGAGGCCCCTGCCTCAGCGTGGTATCCTCAACGTGGACGGAAACGGGTGCCACTTCACGCTCGTGACGTACCGGAAGCCTCTGCTTCGGTAACGGTTTTGGAAGATTTTGCATGCGCGGAATCGCTGCTCGACCGTGCGACACCCGAAGCCACTGCTGCGGGTTAAATTCTTGACTCAGGAACCGCTGTTCGACTGAGGAGGAGCACGTTGCATAGTTGTACACCATTCATCGCACACTCGGGGGGTAGGATGAGTCGTGGGATCGGGATCCACGACGGAAACATGCTGCCACGTACTGGCAGGGCAATCAAGGACTGCGAGTACCGCTTTAACATCGATGTCACGTGGCTGGACAGTACGGTTCAGCCAATCAATGTCGGTTCGATGCCGCGCAAGCCACGGCATCTCAAAAATACAGTCAAAGGATCCACTCGAGTCAATAACTTGTATTTCATCACTACTGGTAAAAGTATCGAACCGGTAAGGGAACACCACCGAATGTTTCCGGTGCGTGCGAGGTTTGCCGTCTGCATACTTAACGACCATCTCCCCAGGAGACTCACGGACACGCAGCCGTTAGGGGGGATCGACAGACTGTCGGCGCGGACAAAATCGTTCGTCGCGCCGGAGTCCAGCAAAGCGCGATGTAACGCGACGCACTGTCGACGCGAACACTGAGCACAATCAAACGAGGATCATTGCATGACGTGGTGGCATTCAGCTGCGCATAATTCACAGCGGTAATAGGAGAACGTGTCACCACCGTAGGAAAGTTCTTCCGTCTTCGCCCAGTAGGACGCCCCGCGCCTACTGGCTCTCGCCGTTTTTTGGCTGCCCGGTGAGGGAGACGGAGACGCCAGACTCGGCGACAGCGATCAATGGTGCAGGCGCGCGGCAGAAGGCTGCGCGATGACCAGGCTTACGACAGCGGAAGAAGACCAGACCAGGTTCTTCGCTGTTTCAGGCTTTCTAGAACTGTGACTGGAAGCACGCCTATGACCTGCAGCTGGCCCGATTGCATCGATCTCTATTGGTTCAGGCTCCTGAGCGGCGCGTAGAGTGGTTACCAAACGCATGAAAACCTTTCAGCTACAGCTCTCTCCTCCTATTGGCTGATAATGAGACTGATTCTCACTTACCTGCGATTAGAATTACGAATGGCCTCACCCGCTATCTCGATTGTAGCATATAAAGACTTATGTAACATACAATCAAGTATTGCTAGTTGTGTAACGTTTACACCCCATCACTGTAATGGGCCTCATTACACACACAACATTGACATAAATGAACAATTACATATGTAGGCAGGTGCCGCGCCCAAATAGCGGGCGCAGCGTGGCCATTTTTTATTGGTTTATGTATTAAGGCCTAAAGTTCCAATATGGACCGATGATAAATTAATTTGAAAATGTGTGGTTCCCGAAAGGCGGGAACACTGTCGTATTTGCTACAACATAATAATCTTCGCACGAGTTAAAAAACAAATATAAAAATAAGAATAAAATTACTTAATACATATACTTAGGCTTAAGTCTCCCCCAAACGCACATGTGAGCTAGTGACGTTACGTTCTAGCCTTATTCCACCTGGTAGCACTTAGTAGTCCTTCCTTTTTCCGAGTTTGGGATGAGTGAATCTTCGTACTTTGACGCTCCCGTATTTGTCTGGAGCACGCGACCTTCCCCCATCTCACTGGTGTTGAGTGGGATGCGCTTAATCACCTCGCGGCGATATCAGGAGAGGAAATCGTCGCGTAGCTGATGAGATCAGCGACCCCTGATGCGCAACGTCTCGCCATACATGAGTTTATGGCACGTGAGCTCGCCGAATCCAAACGGAGAAGTTTAACTCCCTCGCAATCTTCACGGAATAAAGCCGTGAAGATAGAAAAATCTTCCTACTCAGGAGAAGTTAAAGATCGGTTGTCGCTGAATCGATAGTTCCAAGAAGTCGACATCGCCATCGTCTTGAGGTTTCTCGAGGCGCCCCAAGAAAAGGTCAACTTCCTTCTTTCCCGCCCCACCGGGAACGTCAAGGAATGGGCTTTTTGGTAAGCTCGTTGTAAACGAGCACGCGTTCCCCATCCTAGACACCATGCAGGATGATATTCGTATTGCCCTCGAGCCACCGCAAGAGGAAAAGTTGGTGCGCTCAAGGTTTTGTCTATGCTAAAGGGTAAAGTGGCGATGCGCGACTACGTGCAGATGGCTCGGCATCTGACGTCGTGTATTATCACGCATCCTATGAACATGTAAACGTAGGTGGATGGCTTTGTGGATGGTATGCGTGAAGGTCAGACCCGCTTATCGCTCGAGTGCGCGTAGCTTGCCACATTGGAGGAGGCATTTGCCATTGCCCTCCGCGAGGATTTAAGGGTCACCAAGGCCTACGCCAATACCTCAATTGTTACCGTTCCCCGGCCTTCTGGTCCGGAACCTATGAAGATCGACGTGATTGAGTCGTCAGATGACCGACGACGTGTCTTTCATCATAAGGGTGACTCTCGCACCGGGCGTCGCATGGTTTGCTTTCATTGTCGAAAGACAGGGCATCGCGTGGCTGAGTGCCGCGCGTCGGCGCCGATATTGTCGCATGGAGTGGATTCCCATCATGAGGGTGCTGTACCGGCCGCGCATCCAAAAAACGGTCGGGACCAGTAAATGCAGGGAGCCCTACTGGTTGAAATGGAGGTCCGGGTCTCCCGTGGAAGCTCAACCTTCCAGTCCTCCTGCACAGCGCGTACGATTAAATGCCACCACTACGAGTGGTGGTTCATGTCTGATTATTGTCAGTTTACATGTCGTCGGTGTCCGGCGACCTCTACGAGCACTCCTGGACTCAGAAGGGACGAACAGGCTCGCTTGCAAATTTTTTTTCGATGCTGCCTCCCAGCATCCAGGTCCGTGAGGGACCTGGCCAAGTCGTCGTCAAGTTGGCTGACGGAAAACCACACGCGTATCGCGGCGCGAAGTAGACGTTTGACGGTTTTTGCAGTAATGATGATTTCTTGGTGATCGCGATGAATGATGCATTCGATTGCATACTGAACATACCATGGTTGGAACGTTATAAGCCCCATATCGACTAGCTAGCCAAATCAGTGAGACGTCAACGCAAGTTCGACGTCAGTGAAGTATTTACCCATCTTTTGGTGTCGCCAAGTGACTGGCCCAGCGTCACAGTCGTGGATCGTGATTCCACGACACAGGCGGTGCACAGAGCGAGAAATCGTCCTCTCGGTACAGCTTGTGCTGTTCTTCGAGACACAAGTGACAGTGACTCCTCGCTCCACAGCGAGGATATCGACGAGGACAACGCGGTCGAATAGGGGTTCCCGCGTATCATTAATTCGATTGAACAGGGGTTTCCGCAGTCGCGCTAAGAGCAACTCAGCGAAGTCCAAGTTCGCTTTCAACACCTGAAGCAAGTGTTTCAAGTTATGCGGGACAACAAGTTTTATGCGAATCTCAAGAAGCGTGTCTTTTGTGCACCGGATATTCCGGTGTTGGGTTGCTATTTGAGTAAATTGGGAGTTCGAGCTGATCCAGAGAAGGTGTCGCCCATCTGTTCGTGGTCTACACCCAAGAACCCTACGGAGCTGCGCCAGTGGCTCGGCTTGGCTAATTTCTTGCATAAGTACACAAAGGATTATGCTGGTTCTATACAGCCTTTTCGTCACTCTCGAAGAACGACACCACGTGTTCGTGGCGTCCCGAGCACCAAGTATCTTTTGAAGCAGTAAAGAAGAACCTGGCGTTAGCGCTCGTTCTGGTCCTATCAGACGACTCCAAGCCGTTCCACGTGGTATGCGATGCCAGTGATTTTGCAATCGGTTGTGCCCTCATGCAATTTGATGATGAGGGCCGTGAACGAGTCGTGAGCTATTAGTTGCGACAGATGAAGCCAGCTGAGAACCACTATCCGGTTCACGACAAGGAGTTATTATCTATGCGCTACGCACTCATCAAGTTTCGCGTGCATCTCCTTTATGCGCACGTTTGCTCTGTATACCGACCATGCATCGCTGCGCATAGCGATGAAGAGCCCACACCTGTCCCAAAGGATGGAATGATGGCTCTCATTCTTCTCTGAGTACAACTTTTTCGTAAGTTATAAGCCAGGAAAGAACAATATTCTCGCCGCCGCTCTGTCACTACGCCCCGACTACGATCCTCAGACTGCTCTGAGTCGTCAGGCGACTGATGACGAGGATGATGATGATCGATGTGTGTATCGCTGAACCTAACTCGGGTCACATCCGAGCTGTGTTTATTTGATGAGATCGTTAAAGCGTACAAGAACGATTCAGATTATGCTGACATTATCGGTTATCTGCTTGCTCCCAGCAATGTTGTACTGGGAGCTTATCCCGAACCAAGCGTGATCATATTCATCAGTACAGCTTGGAATAGGATTTGCATCTGTAAAATATCGATCAATTCGATGCTCCTCGCACAGTGATCGTTAACAACATGGATTTGCGTGCAAGAATCATCCACAAGTATGACGATGCCTCTTCTAGCAGGCCGCGAAAAGACTTTCGCGGCTGTGTCTCGAGACTTCTTCTGGCCCCACATGTATAAGTGGGTACGCAACTGGATTCGAACGTGCGAAATCTGCCAGTGTGTGAAGCCATCTCCATCTTCGCATGCTCCCTTGCAATCGTTGCCGATTGCAGCCGAGGCCTGGCGATCAGTTTCAATGGACTTCATCTTCGGACTTGTGCCCGATAGTCAAGCTCGAACGAACATACTGGTTTTTGTTGACAGATTCAGCAAGATGACACATCCAGTGCCTGTTCACGCTAAGATCACCGTGGCAGAGACCGCGGCGCACTTTATTGACGCGGTGTTTCATCATCATGGCCTGTCAGAAAACATTGTTTCGGACCGTGATCCACAATTCACGTCCGCATTTTGGACGTCACTGTTCGAGCTCCTTGGGACAAAACTGCTGATGTCGACTGCGACCCATACGAAAACGGATGGGCAAAGTGAGCGCGTGAACCGGGACCTCGAAGACGTTGTTCGAAGTTACGCTACGTCATTCACAAGATGGATTGCATTTTACCACTCGCTGAGCTCGCACTCAACAATGCCGTACACGCGTCAACATGGCTAATGCCATTTTTGTGAATACGACACACCACCCTTGAGTTCCTACTCTTCTTGCCGTGGGGCGACCCACGGCACCTTGTAGATCCGCTTTAGGGGGATAACGGTGCTCAACAAGGACCGTTTGCTCGCGCCTAGGTTAGTAACCGCTGAATCCCTTAGACCTTCGGTCGACAGCAACACACGATCACCTTTTTCGCTTATACTAATGTTTTTATTGCCATATTTATCAGCATTCTATTTCTGCTTGTCCACTGCATACTGAAGTGCGTCGCGTTACACGCGACGCACTTCAGTATGGTGTTGGCTTGACGTTAAAGTTTAAAATCTGACACAATCATGTCATAAATTGGTCGCTCCTACTCAATCGGCGCGTAGTTGGTAGTAGGTGCACGCTTACCAGAAGACGGGTCAGCCAATGTCTGCGCT